TTGAGCAGCAGCGACCAAACAGACTCCACGTACGGCTTCAGACCGGACACTGACGCCGAACCTGAGCACACACACACACACATTAAAACCAAACACACACACACACACACTCAGTTTGGCGTACAGGGAGTTTGCACTGAGGTTCTCACTGATGATCTCTTTGAGCGAGTGCAGCAGCAGATACTGTCTCTTGGACGAGGAGATCTCCTGCAGGACGAACGGCAGATACTCTGGAAGGTTCCCGACCGCGATACTGCCCAGCGCGTAGGACGCTGCCGACTTCACCTGAAACACAGAGAGAGAGAGAGGAGGATTGAAATCTACTGCTACGATATGAAACTGGTTCAATTTGTGTTAATTATTAAACTCTGAATTGTTTAATCTCTAAAATGTCAGAAAATATCTTGTTTTGTTCATTTCAATATCACAGAGACAATAAATCAGAACGTTTGCGGTTTTAGTTTTTTTCTGTTGATCAACTAATTTATTATTCAACCTGTTGTTTTCAGCTCCACTGACAGTGAATGAACCTGTGAAACATCAACGTGAGGATTCTAAATAAACGTTAAATGAATGACTGGTGTTACCTCTTCACTGGAGGAGGAAAACGCTTCCAGGATGACGGTCTTGAGCTCTGGTTGGCTGCTGAGGTCCACATGATGTCCGACCTCACCCAATGAGAGCAGAGCGAGGAGTCTGATGGAGTCCGTGGAGCGGCTGTTCTTCACATCCTGTCGAGACAGAACTTGTGCATTATACAAACCTGCTGAAGTTTCATCGCAGCCTCTGAGAAGGAGTTTAAGACAAGAAGTTTACCTGGATGAACTGTCCGACCACGGCAGGTCCCTCCGTGGGACACGCTCTGGTCAGAGCAGCAACACATTTAGCGATGGAGCAGTACGCCTGTTTGTGAGGCAGAGCGGCACTCTGGGAGTAAACTGGACCTGTCAGCATCCTCAGCAGATCCATGTAACCCAGACCAGAAGTCTCTGTGGTCACCAGAGCCTGAACACACACACAAACACACACGATAAATAACACATAATATTTCTGACTTGTTTCAAGGCTTCTGTACATTCAAGAAAAAACTAGACTTCTAAATATTACCTGGTAGAACTCCAGCATTGCAGCGAGCGCTCCGCCCTGCAGCAGTGGGGATCGAACCAGCGCGATGAGCTGCTGGAGGATGTTTCCTCCGCTAAGCTGACCCAGTGAGGACGGGTGAGTCACTGCCAGTGTGGACAGGAAGCTCAGCGCCATCTGAGACACGTGCATGTCGCTCTCCGAGATGAGTGGAGGCAGCTCAGCGAGGACGGCGTCCACCATGACCGGAGTCACCGCAGAGCTGAGAGAGAAACACGGTCGTGGTGTTACTGGGCGGAAGGAAAAGGTGGAGCTGACTGCTGCGTGTGTGTGCGTGTGTGTTACCTGTAATTTCTGAGCAAAATGTCCAGAGCAGCTAGCGTGCAGAGCTTCAGCGCTCGCTGGTTCTTGCGGAGGAAGGAGGCGAGGATGGGAACGGCATCGGGGAGAACCGGTCTCAGATCGATTTTCAGGGGAGAGCCGGCGATCAGCGTCAGAGCTGCAACACAGAGAGGAGACGATCAGGACATCGGCGGAAAATAGCTAAAGATTACTTAAACTATCATTGAGATAGGTTTTACCTTTCACTGTCGTCAGTCTCGTGATCTCGTTCTTGAGACGTTCTAAGAAGATCAGCAACGTTCCTGGGAGTTCGTTGGGCAGTCGGTCACCTGCACGAACACGGAGTAAGACGACAATTCAGTGAAAGCGGCCGGATCAGTGCTTCCAAGTCACATCGCTGTGATAAGTGGCGGCTGTTACCTAGGTTACAGATGATCTGTCCCATACAGGAGATGGCTCGTTCTTTGACCTCCTGATCGATGTCGGCTGCTTTCAGGCGTTTGATCGTACAGGTGAAGAGGTCGTTGATGTAGGGGGAGGGGTCGAAGCTATCCGAGCCCTCTGATAGGTTGTCAAGAGGTCGGATCACCTGAAAAAGACAGAAAACAGTCAATTCTTCCCGTGACGTTAAACTCCAAAAAAAGGTTTCATGGATGTTGCAGGGTTCGACTCGCACCTTGACGAGCTGCTGAGTGACGAGCAGAGCCTCAGAGGTGATCTTGTAAAAGGGGTCGCCCACGCACGCCACCACGGGCGGGACGAGGGCAGGGACGTGAGCGTGGAAGGCATGAGCGGGATGCGTGACCATGATGACATGGAGGCAGGCCAAGGCGTCGATTTTCAGGTTGGAGCTGCTTGACTTATCGTTCAGGGAGAAGATGATTCCTGAAAAACAGTGTCAGTGTTTCTCGTCATTCACACAGAACACAAGTGTAAAACAAGACCATATGTTTTACTATTACTACAGCAGTACAGGTAGCAGGGATGTAGTATTACCAGGTATTAGTACTGGGATGTGCTGCGTCAGGGCTCCGGGGAGAACGTTCACCAGCTCCGTCAACATGTTGAAACAACACTGACGAGTTTTCACACTTTTCTCCTTCAGCTGCTTGTGAAGAGCTTTCACTATCATGGGAACCTGCGAGAGGGCGAGCGACATTCACAGACACGGAGAGAAGGAGTGAGAGAGAGAAGAGAGAGAACACACAACAGAAAACAGACAGCGCCACCTGCAGCAGTAAAACTGTGCCAGACATTTATTTCCTTCAATCGATTCATTAATCAATATTTTTCTCAATTAATAGTTTTACCAGCAATTAATTAATAACAAAAATTCACCCTGTCATCGTAGTTTTGTTCAGTTTACAAGATAAAGAAAATCACAATAATGTCCCGTGTCAACGTCAGTGTCTGATTAATCACTGCGTGATTGATTACCTGGCTCTGCAGCATCGTTAGCGGCGTCTCTCCCTGCTCCATTGCGTCTGGATCAGCCAACCAGCTCTGAGCCGGTCTGGTCTGTTTGAGCAGTGACAGGTAGGCGTGGAAGACGTCGGCCTTCACGTTCTCCTCCCTCTCCTGAAGACACACAGTATTGATTCAAATATTAGCGAGCGCCAAGTTAAGACCGAAAGACTTCACCTGCTCAGTGATTCTGGCCCTGACAGAGGAGGTGGCTCGTACCTTGAAGCGACAGACGAGTGCGGGGGACACAGAGCGATAAAACTCCGGTAGCATCTCGTGGCGAGTTGAGACGACAGCGTCCAGACACTTTGCCGCCGCCCGCCGAACCTTCCAGCTCATGTCGTCGTCGTCACTGTACTCGTCATCACTGCCTGGACAGACGGAGCAACAGACGGACACATCGTCATCGCTCTTGTTCTAAACCTTGAAGACTTAAAGTCACAGTAAAAAAGAACACGATGTCACAGCATTGCTCTCTGTACCTTGATAATCTTCATCATTCTGCTCGGCGTCCATGGCGTTGTCATCTTCGTCTTCATCGTCAAAGTTGTAGTTGGGGTCGTAGGTCAGGTAGCGCAGGCAGATGGAGATGACCGTGGGAACATGGGGGTAAACTTCTTTAGGGCACCTTTAAAAACAAAAGAAGAATGAAACAGAAAGAACAGCCTCGACTGTGACAGATAATGTCAGTGAGAGTTTTACCTCCTGACGAAGGACTCGAAGGCCTGGATGCAGTATTCTCTGAGCTCATCGTCATCAACGTTACAAAACTTCACCACCAGAGGAATGATCTTCTCCAGATACTCTCCTGAAGAAGAAGACAACACAGGGCAGGTTAGTAACAGAAGCTACTTCATTTTCTCTTCTGCTGTTTTCTGGTTAGCGACTCACCGATCCTGTGTCCCGCCTGTCTGCTGATGGCGGCCGTGCACTGGATGTAGGTTCTGGTGGTCGACATGTTGTCGTTTCTCCCCAGCTCAGTCAGAAGATGCTCGATCAGGTCGATGAAGACCAGATTCCCGCAAGACATCACGAGATGTCCCAGAGCCATGATCGTCCTCTGAAATATTCAGACATGAATTTATCACAGTGCCGTGAATATAAATAATGAAACATCAAGAGTTAATCTGGGGAGCTGAGGGTTAAAAGACGCACCTTTCTGACAGCCAGTCTGGGGGAGGTGAGCTGAGGGAGCAGACAGCTGAGGATGGAGGGGTGGAAGTTGACCAACAGACCTCCCTGTCTGCAGAGACGAGGAAATAAAGACTGAAATTATTGTTCGTGTAAATTCAGAAACAAAACTTCACACAGTGTGACACACAGAAAGACTCTGTACCTGCACAGCATGTCGGCCATGATGTCGAGCGCCTCCAGCTGAACAGAGACGTCCTCCTGTTTGGCGATGGCACTCGTCAGACGACCCGTTATCTTCTTACAAACGCTAGCAGCTAAAGCAGAGCCTGTGTAACAGACGAGGCAAAGACAAGTGAGTCGAAAATAAGGATAAATGATTAATGAGTCATTTAGTTTTATATGTGGACCAATGAATATGTAATATACGTTGAGTAGAGTGTGTGTATATTCTATAAGTTGAGTAATGCATTATATGTTCAATAATATATATGTTATAGCAGTTGTGTTGACCAGTGTATATTATACTAGTTGTGTAATGTATATGTTACATGTGTTGAGTAATGGATATACTAAATATCTGAGGTGACAGACGAGGTATGTTTGTATTTTTACCACTTGAGGCGGGAAGCAACTATCCGACAATCAGAGTTATATATATTACATATGTTGGGTAGCGTATATATTTACCACTGGAGGCGGGCGGTAACTCTCCAATCACAGTTTTGAGTCCGATGGAGGAAATGTCTCGGAGCTGTTCTTTGTCTGACAACATGTTGGTGCACAGAGTGTCTACGATCGTCTCCACCTGGTACTCCTTCACCTTACTGACCAGGGGCCCCAGGCTGAAGAAACAAACGCACCCACAGGTTTTAAACACACACTGAGGGTCAAACAGACGCACTGACAGCTACAGACACAACCATAGGTTCAAGAGAGGAAATTAAACACAGTGAGAATACAAAAGAAATAAAACAGTGACTCATAATAATAAAATAAAAGTACTTCAAACGTGTGTATTTTTACCATTTGACGGCCAGGTTCTGAACTTCTCCATTCTTGTCTTCAAGCAGTTTGAGAATCATCCTCACCACCTGTCAATCAATCAATATATCAATTAATCAATCAATCAAATCTCACTGTTCTTATGGTTAGAAACATTTATGAACAGGTTTTAACTTCCTAAATCTTCCTCTTTGTAAACACGGGCCCAGCACACAGCTGGTATTAACATCCGACCAGATCCAATCACAATGTGGACATGAGGCTCAGAACATCTCGGAGTATGGTCTGACGTTCACACCTGTGCCACATGTTGATACCAGGTGTGTACAGGGCCCCACAATAAACCTTTAGAAACCAGTTTCAATCAGTATGAACCTGTATAAATGATAGAAACCAGAACAGTCCAGTATAAACCAGGTTACACTGATATAACCCGTATGAACCGACCTTCCTCTCGCTGTCGTCGTCCAGTTTGATTGAATCTTTCTGTAGCTCTGTCATCAGGTCGTTTGTGGCCATAAACCTGGAACAGAGAAAATAGAAACTGTGAAACTAGTGATCTGATGTATGAAGACGACTCATCACATGAACTGAAAATTGTGTCAGGACATTTTCTAGAGTCAGTGTGTGTGAAGCAGCAGATTGTCGACTCGTTCACAACAACAGGAACATGTGGGGACATTCAGGCGAGGGATGGAGCCTGTAGAGCAGCAGGAGGCGGGACACGACTTATAAATTGTGCTGTGGGCAGATCAGTGTTGTTGTTTACAGCTCATCAACACTGGCGTCGGCCCTCATCACCAAAACATCTGGAATCTCCTCGTCTTTTCATTTGTATTCTTCCAGCTGCACGTCATCAACACGCCCACTCACTGATGTTTTTTTTACTCAGACGATGGTAAAAACACAGATGTGGGTCATCTATGTGAACATTCTGACTTTTAGCTGCTTTAACACAGAGTTATATCTGCTGACTCCATGTCCAATCCAATATTTATTATTTCCTAGGCGGCATGCAGCACACATTAAAACCAGAGAGGTGTTTTGGACGCGTTTGACGGCCGAATGAATGTGCACGGAGGAAATGTGCTGTGAACTCACCAGCAGAAAAACACCACCCAAAAAGAAAGTGTAATTATCTCTCTCCTGCAGAGCATGTGCTGATGCAGACGCCACATTAAAGCACTCAGATCAGGACTGAAAGGATTCCGTTTGCTCTGCTCGTTCAGGGTCAGCGGACGTTTTTACAGCGGCGAGGACGGATAGCGGCACGACTCATGATTTCACGGGTTCCTCGCACTGAGCGGGCAGCTGTCAGGAGTGATGAACTGAGGAGCGAGGCTGAAATGTATCTGTCAAATGAGGATTTTTCTTTAAGGATGTTACAGCGTGACGTTGTATGAACATGATTTGAAATCATCAAACACACGGACATTCTCAGTCTCATTAGAGCTGCAACAATTAATATAAACAACTCGTGCTTCAGATTCACGTTAAGAGCAAGTTCCAATCATTTTTAATATCGATTAATCTGTTGATTACTTCACCAACTTATCAATTCATTTCTTTTACTTATCATTTACGTCGTCTTTGTGTGTTTAGATTTATTCGGCTAAAATTCTGTTTATTATCTGAGGAGAAAGAGGCAGAAAATATCAACACAACCAAACTGATCGATCTTTAGATGATCTGATAATATTTCAATTTACTGTTGATCAACTATTTGATTATTGAATCGGCTGTTTCTCCCTGTGTCTGTTTCCTGCAGCTTCCTCCAACAGTGCAAACACATGCAGATCAGATATTTTTGTTGTTAAATTGCTGTAAGAGGTATAGATGAAGGATTATTGCTGTGCAATAGCTTTAGGACGTATTTAACTTCATGAAGCCACACAGTGGATTTGTTTCTCCACAGTAAGCAAATGTTTTATTCACCAGGTCGCACGCACATAATGGAAGTGAAGAAAAAGTAGACTTGTGTAGGTGTGACTGTGACTGTGCCCTTATCGGGCGCTTTAGATTCTAAAACTGTAGAAGCGCTTGTTTTGATGCCGCTGACGTCCCTAATTAAAATACAGCAGAGTTGTTGTCAATCGGATCCCATACAAGTGTGAATCGAGATCACGATTTTAGTGTTTAGTGTAGATTAGATCCTGCGATCACCCTGTGCCACTTTCTCTACCCATTTCATTGGAAAACCAGACCAGATGGTGAACATCCCTTTTACATTCCAAGGTTTTCTGCACTGGGTTGATAAGTTGTCGACCGACAGATATCAGGGATCACCAGCGGGTGTGAGGGACGTATCATCAGTTTTGTAACTTAGGGTCATTGTTTCTGTCTTTTGATCACAGGACACCCTCTGCTAACGCAGGCCCACCACAGCTGCTCAGACCTGAATGTGTGTTGGGGCATATTAGCAGTCTTTCCTCTTGATTCACAAGCATTGGCTGCAGTGTCTTTACTACTCTATTTTTATTTTATTATAAAATCTTATTCTATACGTTTCTTTGCTCCCATAACAACTTCTTTTGGACTATCGCTGCATTGGATCAATGAAGTTGAAGCAGTCTTGTCTTATGTGCTTTTCGTAGTTTTTAACATGTGTAAAGTTTGAGCACTGTAAACATGTACAATTTGTTGTTATTATTATTAAGAACAGTTTATTTCCCTTTGCAGCTAAACTTCACATTAATGGAGTCACACACACTATTGACTCCTTGAATTACCTGCACATCTATTTACATATTTAAACTTTTATTTTTCAGATATGTCATTTTACCGTCCAGCTTCTCGTTCATTGCTCCAGTACTTTACGATCCTGTCTGTCTCTTTGTGTTCATGTACTTTCCTCTCATTTGACTTGGTCTTTCCTTCTATACTCTTCAGTATATAGAAAGTTAAAGTGGATTATTGGTGACTGGTTGAGGATGAGATGTTTTTAAACCTGGATGGACTCAGTGTGTCTCCAGTGTGGAGCTGGGAGCTGCTCAGGTGTGTTTACCTGAGCTACCACACCCCCTCCTCCACCCAACATCACAACACTGAGCACAAACATCACAACACATCATGGTTGGCTGGAGTGGCAGCTAGCTGTCATGCTAACTTCACGTGTTAATCCCTATAGCCGGCGGACACCGTAAACATCCAGGCGTTAGCTGACATCATGCTAGCTTGCGGCATGATAGAAGTTGGAGCTAACCGGCTAACAGCCGAGCTAACCGTTCACCGGCGGGGTTCACCCGCAGCTCAGCTGTCCGTTCGCCGCGTCATTAACCGGTCACTAGCGCTGTCGTCGAATTTAAACCAGTGGTTAACCACTAACTAGCTGGTTAGCGACGTGATCAGACAGGTGGCAGGCTAGCTGTTAGCATGAGGCCTGACAGCGCCGGCCACTGTTTTCAACACTCCGCAAAAACCACCAGAGCCACAATAACGCTTCTCCGGGCGCCGAGTTCGCTTCTCCGGGCTTTGGTCTCACCTGAAGTCCTTGTCGCTGGAGGTCATTTTCTCCAGCAGGTTGGAGATGTGGTACGAGGCGCTCGCCATGTCGGTGTCAGCCGTTAGCCTCCTGCTAGCAGAGCGCTCAGTCAGTGTGTTCCGGCTGCGGTGTCTCTGGCTGCTTCAGCCGCCTGCTGCTCGGGGGGGGTTTTCTGGGGCTCAGTTCTGCCTCCGGACCTGGTTCTGGTTTCTCCTGGTTCTGGTTCTGGTTCCGATGCTGCCGCCTTCTCTTCTCCTACAGCGACTGTCGCATCCCGGGCCGCGGAGTTTGATGCGTTTGAATGGAACTCCCGTTCTGTCTGCAGAGGGGCGGGGTTAGCAGCGCTGGACTGTGCGGGGTCGAAGGTCACGGTTTGGGACGTTGGATTCATTCCGAACACGTTTTATTGTAACAGTGAGAAAATACTCTACTCAAATATTAATATGCAGTAACTTGTGTTTCCACGTCCGACGGTGAGGGTAGAGGTATTCAGATATTTCATTTGAATTGTTTGCTCTGTTAATTGACGTAAAGAGAAGATGGACGACATGACAGCTCCCGTAAGTGAAGCCAAAACATCTGGATCGACCCCTGGTGGCTGGCTGCAGGATAGGTCATAATTCTCCTCCATGTTAGCAGATGGTACGAACTAAGATAATGAAAGCAGACGTTAAATAAATGTTTGTCAAAGATGTTTCTGTCGTTTCAGCTGACACGTCATGATTGACAGCTGAAACAGCATCTGGATTGGCCGAGCAAATTCACCTCGATAACCTGACTCCACCCCCAATCACTACTGCACAGACTCGAAGATCCAAAATACTTAAGCTTCATTTCTGTCCATCTTTATTTACAATCTAAAATGGGTGAATGGGACTTGATAAGACATTAAAGTCTTCTCACTATTTGCCCTTAAAACATTAGATCTCCCTTCTTCTCACTATTCAATCATTTCAGTCTCTTAATGTCAATTTAGGGAAATATTGAATCTGACCTAGCGTCTAACCTCGTGTTGTGACTGTGTTCACGGAGGTCGACTCTGCTGCATCTTTTTCATTCCTGTCAGTTGCTCACTTTGCTGGTTTCTACAGTTCCTTTGCTGTTTGAATAAAACTGACTCGACTCAAAGATCCTCTCCTGAAATCCATCATCGCCTCCTTCACCTGCGGCAGGTGTCTCCATTCAGAAACCTCATACAGAGCCACTTCCTGTTTACTCAACGAGGAGGAATCAGGATCGAGTGTGTGGAGCTCTGCATCTGCATGTGTGTGTGTGTTCAGAGCTATATTGAGCACATTATCCTCAAACAATGAATCACACACACAGACACACAAACACACACACACACACACATCCTCCTCCTGAGTGAAGGACGGGGTTAATATTCAGCTGTGTACAGGGGCTGGGGGACACTCTGTGTCCTTCAGTGTCCTCACAAGCATAGAAGCATGAAGTGTGTGTGTGTGTGCGCGCTCGTGTGTGTGCGCGTGTATGCATGTGTGTGTGTGGTGTGAGATGAGTCACAGATCAGTTGAGTGGGATGTTTACAAACCCCCAGGCGCTCTCTCTCTCTCTCTCTCTCTCTCTCTCTCTCTCTCTCTCTCTCCCTCTCTGTTGACACATAATGCAACCACTGACATATGCATGCTGTGATTCCAGAGTGTGTGTGTGTGCGTGTGTGTGTGCGTGTGTGTGTGTGTGTGTGTGTGCGTGTGTGTGTGCGTGTGTGTGTGCGTGTGTGTGTGTGTGTGTGTGTGCGTGCACGCAAGTGTGTTAATGCATTGACAGCGTTTGACAGTAATCTATGAAATGAGGCTGCAGCTGCATCTCAAACACAGTTTTCCTCAGACGTCTCTCAGGAAATGACTGTGATGATGATGATGATGATGATGATGATGATGATGATGATGAAGGTCTGATTATAGCTGTGAAAAATCTGTTAACCCCTAAAACCTGACAACTAAAACTATCAATGATTCAAAAAACATGGGATTATAAATCGACCATATCTATCTATCTATCTATCTATCTATCTATCTATCTATCTATCTATCTATCTATCTATCATCCATGTTAGCAGTTGGGACATGGACCAAACTAAAATATCAAAGCACAGGTAAATAAATGTTTCTCTTTGGCACAAGATGGCAGTATTTGTATCTGAGACATTTCGGCTTCATTTCTGGACGGTGGGAGGAAGTGGAGACACGTCATCCATCTTTATTCACAGACTTATCCTGTGGTGTTAAATGTGTTTTATCTAAACTAATAGACCATAAGTACAATTTAAAACTGAGATGATATTAACATAAAGCGTTCGATCGTCACCTAAGTCCTGATAAAGATGACAAAGCACAAACATTAAGTGTTCCCAAAAGAAAGGACGGATCGGAGACACGGGTCCTAACATGTCCCTTTTGACCTTTCACTTGGAGTTTTGACCTTATTGCGGCTCGGTGAGACGATGTCAGCTGTTTTAAACCCTGAAATCCTGACTGTTACTGTCTGTTAGTCTGTGATTTAAAACACATATCAAGACTTAGTATTCCTACTGGGGATATTTAAGAACTCAGTAATGACAAAACAAGTTGGTCAGTCAGTCTGTCGCTCCGTCAGTCAGGCGATCGGTCGTTCTGTCAGTTGGTCAGTCACTCTGTCCGATGGTTGATCAGTCAGATAGACGCTCGGCCAGTCAGCTGATCGATCGGTTGGTTTGGCAGCTCGATCAGTCGGTTCCTCGTTCAGTCAGTCAGACTTTGGAGATCCCCTGAATTCTCATCTAGCGCCAGCATCAGGTCACATTTTGAATTCGTTCATTACTTTAGAATCATGATGAAATCATTTCGGAGACTCTGTGAAGCCTGCGGCAGAGAAAAGAGCAAAGTGTGGGTTTGGTGGTTGTACCATTTTTTTTCCAAACAAAGATGAATCCCCCAGAAGACACAAGTTTAGTGACAATAAGTTGATGATGTGATAAATAAAAACAGTGAATGAAGCTGCAGGGATTCACACTGAGTCTCTCTCTTCATATTGAGGTCAGTCTCTGCTTTTTGTCTTGTAGCCTGCAGAGACTCATTCTTCCACTTCACTGATTCTTTTCTCCTTCACTCGTCTCTCCACAGCTCCGCGGGGATGACAGACGGCTACTTGTCATGTTGAAGGCTGTCAGTTAATCACTGTTGTTATCGGCTGTTTTAGATCCAGTGGTTTGGATTATATGTGATGATACCAGTGGTTCTTGTTTCTGTCAAACCATTAGATCCAGTTTGATGTAAAACAGACAGAATACAATCTGTGAAATGAATAAGTCGTTTTGTTTCTGTGACAGGCAGGAACCTTCTTCATCCTAAAGAAATAACTCAAACAATCTGGATATTACTTTAACCATCCAACTATCCATCTAAATTTTATGCTAACTAA